AGATCCAATCTCAACCACAAATCAACGGATAAATTAGGAAATTAATAATTATGGTAGTTTGAGTTAAAATTATAATTAGAGGGCATTTTAGGAATTTTTAGAAAACTCTTCTCTCCTCTCTTCTCTCTCATCTCTCATCTTTCCGACCTCCAATCTCCGGTGAACAAAAATCCGGCAGGTACCAAATAATCACAAAGATACACAATGTGATACCCATGTGATATACAGTGGTACTCAAATGGTATCACAATATATCACAATGGGTATCACATTGTGTATCTTTGTGATTACTTGGTATCTGTCGGATTTTTGTTCACCGGAGATTGGAGGTCGGAGAGAGGAGAGAGAAGAGAGGAGAAAAGAGTTTTTTAAAAATACCTAAAATGTTCTCTAATTATAATTTTAACTCAAACTACCATGATTTTTTTTTAATTTATCTATTGATTTGTGGTTGAGATTGGATCTCACAGTTACTACAAACTAATCAGTTCTTTCTTGAATGGGCCCCTATATATGTATATATATTATTTATTTCAACTAAATTGATCATTCATAATTTCCTATTTTTTAACTAATTTTAGAATCTAAAATTGTTGTTTTTTTGGATGTTAGTATGTAATAGATTTCAAGTCAAAATATAATTACTTGATATGTTTTGATACGTGTGACGTTACATTTTTTTTGTATTAAATTGAATTTCTTTTGATTTTAGGTTATTAATTATTATATGGTATTGTGATTTTTTTTGTATTAAATTAATTTTTTTTCGATTTTTTAGTTTTAGAAGTATGTGAGATTTAAACATGTATAATATCTCATACATTTGATTTAAAATAGCTTACAAAAACAAAGAAAATTACGTATTTCCATGTTGGCCTGTTGGGGATCCCGCTTCCTTGTTAGAGATGGAGATGCCACTTTAATCTTCACAGACAAAGATAAGGGATCAGAGTTGACCCATTCTTATTCCTAGTAGAATGATAACTGAACTATTTGAAATGTATCATTGTAGATTAAAAGTATCAGGAGGTTTCAGGTTCAAATAATAGGAGGAATAAAAATTCTCTTGTGGCTACGGAGGTTTAAATGCGGTGACTCTAAGCTATCTATAAAGCAAGTGGTCGTTTAGAGATTAGTCAGCTCGCATAACAGATTAGATATCAGGTTAATAAAAAAATGTTTTTGTAAATAAGTTATTTAGAATAAAAATTAGTGTAAACTATAAATTTGGTTTCTATGTTTGTCGAAAATAACATCTTTGGTCCATACAATTTTGAAATTATAAAAACGTCATCATGGTTTTAAAAACGTTTCAGATTTGCTCCCTAATTCTAACAACCATTACAAATTTCGTTAAATGAGAGAGATATATATATATATATATATATATATATTTTTTTTTTTTGTCTTTTAACCAATCAAAATCTATTTTATAATTTGATCCTTATCATTTTTGATTAGATAAATGACAAAAAAAAAATCAATTAAAAGACAAAAATACCCCTTTTTAACGGAATTTCTAACGGTTATTAAAGAGATAGGTCGAATATGGACGCTTTTGCAAACCATGATGATTATTTTGTAGTTTCAGAACCTTAAGGGCTAAAAGTGTTATTCTTTATAAACAACAGGGACCAAATTTGTACTTTACTCTAAGAAAGATAAAAATACAGAGCGTCCTCTATCCAAACTTGTCAGTTCTCTCCCCACTTTCCTTAAATTAGCGTTTGGGGATTTGATCGAGATAAGAGATGATCTTACTTCATCTTCAAATACCAACAAGTTCTGCCGCCAGAGTGGATTGCTAATTGCTTTGATTTAATCTCCAGTTTTTGTTATCTAAACCCCCCCAAATTACAACCAACGCCCTCTGAAATCCGCCATTGCTATCCCATCATCGAACACCAAGAACACACACTTACACTGAGAGTTTACGACACAAAAACGATGGGAAAACAAGGAATAAAGATGGAAGACAAATGGGGTTATGAGGTCAACACCTCTTCCTCTTCTTGCATCTCTTCAATTAACTCCTACTATCACCAGGTGAGAATTATTTAGGGGTTTGATTTAATTTTTGTTTATTTATGGAAATTGATTGTTGTTTGTTTGCTCGTTGAAGGTACTTAGCTATGGAAGAAGAAGAGATGTGATAATGGAAGCCATCGATCATGATCCTAATTGTGTATTAGCAAACATTTTGGCTGCCCATTTTTGCTGTTCTTCTAACCCTTCTCGAGCTCCTTCCCTTCTTCACGCTGCCAAGTCTAATCTCGTAATTTCACACTAATCTATCTCATCATTATGCGTTTTATGTGTTCGATCTTATGTTTGCATGTTTTTACTAAGAAATCTTCATGGGTTCATCATTTTAGTGTGATCTTATCTTCTGTTTTTCTACAGAATCGATCGAGTTTCTTCAATTGTTGAGTTAATAAACAAGAATATGTAAATTTTGATGTTGGGATTTTGTGGGTTTTCACTAAATTGTAACTTTATGCTGCAGGACTCTGCAACTCCTTATGAAATAGCAGTTTTAGAAACAATTGATTGTTTGATTTCACCCAATAGGGATGATGATGTTGCTTTTGAGTTGCACTCCAAGGTTTGATTTTAGCATATTTGAGTATAATTTGTTCTGTTTATCTTGATCATTTGGCTTTAGTTCGGTACGGTTTTTCTTGTAGCTATTGAATGATTTCCCTAAAGATTTGGTGTCTTTGAAGAGAGGTCAAGTTCTCTGTTTTTACATGGGTCGACCCGATCTATCTTTGCAACTCATTGAACAGGTTTAATTTTGATTGCTTACCGTCTCTAACCCATTAAAGAATTCATTGTTAGCCATTTCGTTTACGGTTTCTTGTGTTTCCTCGATTATATTTAGGTACTTCTGGCAAATAATCAAGAAAATTTCGTATATGGAATGCTTGCATTTCCTCTATTAGAGCTTGGGCGAATGGAGGATGCTGAGAAAGCCGCCAAAAAAGGATTTGAGATCAACAAGGAAGATCCGTGGTCGCAACATGCTGTGAGCTAATCTTTATGCAATATTACTAAAACAACATAATGATGTTTGATTTAAGGATTTACGTTGGCATTTAGTATTCTGGATTCATGAAGCATTGATCTTTGAGGTTGATCCTAGTATTAAGTTTGCAAAATCTAGCATTCACTTTTTAGCCATTTTCTGACCCAAATTCACTTTTTAGCCAATCCTTACGCAAAAAGCTTACACATATGCGTAAGGATTGGTTTTCGGTAAAAAAAAGAAGAAGAAGAATCCTTATGCATATGCTTACCTATCAGCTTTGGCTATTTCTGTAAATTTCCCATTTTAGTTAGACCAGATGTTTTTTAAGTATGTTCATTATATACAGCAAAACTCACACTTCTCACTAAACGTGAACCCTTGACCTTGAAGGAGGTTGGAATCTACTAGTAACCCAAATGCTGTTGGGCCATTGACTCAGATGTTATTGGAGCTTATTTGTCGTTATTTGGTCTCATAGCATTATCCATCTTTTGCAGTTGTGCCATGTATTCCAATACGAGTGTCGATTTAAGGAAGCCGTGGAATTCATGACAGAATGCTCGAAATCTTGGGATCCTTTATCATCGTTCATGTAAGCATATAAAGTATACTACATATGAATTTACGCTTCAAACTATTTAGTTTTTGTTAAAAACGAGAGGCTCCTCATGATTATCATCATTTCTATCATCAAACCTTGTGGGTCAGCTCAACTGCCAAATAAATGCTAGGTCTTGGGGTTCCTCCCCTTAGGCTGTCAGTTCAAGTGTAACATCTCAGGCCAGCTATACCAGATATTGTCCGTTTTGTCCATACACCTCGACTCGGGGTTTTAGAACGCGTCTAATAAGGAGGTATTCAGTCCCTTATAAGGCAACCTTTGTTCCACTCCCGACCAATGTGGGATCTTACATCGAGTCTCCTCAAGGCCACTCTGGCTAATATCTTTACGGCCTCATGGGATTAGTCATTGTGCGTTCAAGCTGGCCCGGACGCCCACAGTTACCAAAAAAGAAAAGAAAAACATAACACCACCTCTAAATCTTGTTGACAATTGTAATTATGTTTATGCTTAGTTGAATAAAGATTTCAACTTAATGTATAGGAACACTCACAATTGGTGGCACGTCGCTCTTTGTTCCTTGGAAGGTAACGCTCCCCTTGATAAAGTCCGAGATATTTATGACAACCATATTTGGAAAGAGTTGGAGAGAAGTGATGCTACACCTGTGGAGGTTATTACCCTTCCCTTTTTTCTTAATGACCAAATGGTCACAAGTTTAAACCAAACGAAATCAATATATCCCATCTGAAGGTGAGGTCTAGGAGATGAGATATATGCAGATTTGACCTCTACCCTAAAGAGTAAAGCGGTTGTTTCCGTCAATAACAGAAAATCTCTTTGCAAATTCCAAAAAGAGACTCCTTCAAAAAGCTTCCTCTTCAATCCTCGCAAACTTAAGGAGCCCGGGTGTACCTGGGGTCTAGTTTTTCGCGTTTTTGCTCTATCATAAATCGTGGTTCGTGTATTTAGGTATACTTGAATGCAGTTGGCTTGTTATTGCGGGTTCATGTAAGAGGCAAAATCCGTTTCTTTGAGGACCATTTGAAGATCTTAGCAGGTTATCTATCGGATCGAGTGAGTTTGTCAACGTGGTCATTTTATCTCGTTAACTAATTTAAATCAAAATGAAAATTTGGAGAATGGGTATGAAAATGTCGTTTTCTTGGTTATTGTTCATTCGATCTAATCCGTTATAATTTGTCAGGCCTTTTGGTATCTTGAGTGGCACCTTGATTTGCTGATATTATGGGCTTTAGCGTGTACCGAGAAGTCATCCGAGGCTCAAGATTTACTCGATGGCTTAAAGTCAAAGTTAGAAAACTCACTCACTGATTCTCTCCTGTTTTATCGTTAAATCGTTTTCGTTTATTTTGCTCTGAATGTTCTTTTTCTCGCGTAGGGTTTCCAAAATGAATCCGAAGAAGGGAAAATTAATGCAGAAAGGACTAAAGGTTTGTTTTTTCAACTTCCCAGTGAACTTCTTTTTGAAATATATTACATTTAGACTCCTCACTGAGGGAGGTTTTAACCGCTATTTTTATTTGGTTTTAGCTTGCAGAAGCTGCATTCGAGTATGGGAGAGGTGATTTCACTCGAGCGTTAGAGTTGCTCGGTCCAGATTTCGATGCCGACAACTGTAAGGTGTTAAGAAATTCCTTCTTCCAGGAACTATTTGGTCATGGTTGATATTTTGATCAGCAATTACATTCTTTCTGAACTGGAATAAGATGTTTTGAAGATCAGCTTCTATACCGCTATATGATTGCATTTTGCAGATGGTTGGTGCGTCTGGTGAACAACTTGATGTCTTTAATGAATTTTGGTTCGTTATGTTACTCGATACAGGACGTGCCGACAAGGGTACGATCGGTCGTTTTTGGTGTACTTTTCCTGTGTTTGCTTGTGCGTTTTCGTTATAAAGGAACTTTCTTGTGGTTGCATTGCAGCAATTGAAGTGATCGAGAGGCAGTTAAAGAAGAGAGACGGAACCCCGTTTTTATGGCGGTTGCTGGTATATCCCGCTTCTTTTCGTACTAGGGTCTACGATATCCAATTTCTTCAGTGTCTCTGTATATATATAAATTTTCAGCAATAACCATTCAAATCATGCATGAAATATGTCACATGGAAATATGAAATTATGCTTTACAAAGAGTCACACTAAGGCCTGGGCCTTCAAAGCTCATTTTCACAAAACCAAAAAAAGGGTGGGCTCTTTTTCACCCCGCGCCAGGTTGGCCTTTGGGGTGGAAAGAGGGCCCGATCGGGCTTTTTTTAGGCTAGGCGTCTCGAGTAGGTTCGGGTTTTAACGTGGCCCTGCAAAAAAGTTGGCCTTGTTGGGCTTTAAGGCCAGACCTAGGCTAATGCTAACTAGGGCCGAGCTTTTTTGGGACGGCCGGGCCCGGCCCATGCTTGGGGCTTGAGCTTCTTTGTGCATCTTTATTTATAACATTCATAGTATGGCCCTTGGAAACAACCTCTCTATTTTGTCAGATAGAAGTAAGGTCTACATATATTTACCTATATGAAATATGCTAGGTTTGTTTAGTTTGGTTATTACATCATGGTATGTGCCCGCATATCATGCTTCATTTTGCATGTATGGAAGATATTTGATTTCCGAGTGGTCAACATAAAGATCGTGTATAAAATAGTTGTATCAGTTAAAAGTGGTGTTATGAAATGACGTTTCAGGAGAGGGCTTATTCGATGTTGGGGAAGCAAGAAGCCGAAGCTATAGGTGCAAAGGCGAAAGCTTTAGAGGGTGCCTACTTCTAGCGAAAGACGGGATCCCGAATGGCGGGGATAATCGATAGATGTACTTGTTGGTACCTTGTGTAACGTAGGTAGTACCATTACATTGTACTATGTGTGCAGTGTTTTACAGAAGTTTGAATAAGGCAGGCAAAAACGTTGAGAACGTATGAATAAATGAATCATATGTGAATCATTAGTTAAAGAAAATGTGAGTTCACATGTGCATCTTTATATGTGAATAACTGGTAAAAAGTTAGATAAGCAAACAGGCTAAGGATCGTGTGAGAAGTAGAGTTAAGGTGAGAAAGTAAGAAGGGATCTGGATCTTTGATCAACTTTAATCTTAAAACCACCCATCAATCACGCTTGATATGAGAATTGATCCGGTGCATCTCATCTCGATACATCGAATGGTGGATATATCTTCTTACGCTTCTTGTTTTAACTCTCATTCTCATCAAATTCGCCCCTAAAGATTAAGTTTTTTTTATTCCAGGTTTACCAATAATTTATATATGAATTGTTTATTTGGGCGAAAGATTATCTACAACTCCAACCAACCTCACACGAAACACGCCTCCAAGGACACAAATGTGAGGGGACATTTTTGACTCTCAACGGTTGAGGCTAGTTGGGGGGCCGGGGTCGAATCAGAGACCTATCTTGTATTTCGGCAAAATCATCTAGCCCCTTTGCCAACCGAGGTACACGTTAGAGGTCATATGAATCATTTATTCATATGTTCTCAATGTTTTTTATATGTTCTTATGAAGACTTGGGATCATGTGACACTATGTTTTTTCGTGAGACCACATAGATAACACTGAATCTTCACAACTGTTGTAGGTAAATCTTCACAATGTTTTTTCACATTCATGTTCAGTTGTAAAGTTTCAGTATTATTTTATAGTCTCGTAATATCATGAAAACATGTTAGTCTCATGTAAACTCAACATTTAGCATCACATTATCTACTAAAACAATGTTTTATTTTTTATTATTATTTTATGGATATATTATTTATTAAAAAACCAAACTTTTCTTTAGTTTCTATTTTAAGAAACCATTTTAAAGAACTAACGATTGTCTTATTTTAAATCCACTATTTTGAGAAATTATATGGAATTTGTTGGTACGTTAGAGAATAAAGGGTATGACCGTAATTGACCAGTTAGAGGTGACTTGGTCTCCGACCACCGCCAGTTACGAGTCTAACGACTGGTCGACCATGTCATCGAGTAAACTAACCGTGTTTTCAGCACCTTAAATTTTGGCAATTTTTTTAATTTTTAATTGTAACCAAGGGGCCAGGCCGTTTACTAAACGTCTATTCGGTAAGTACTTATCGGGTAATTTCTTTCACCGGATGAACATGACAAGGGCCAATAATCTTACCCGGTAAGAGCGATGATAAGGATGAAGAGTCTTACCCGATAAGTGAGGGTGATGATTCTTACCCGGTTAAGCGCTTATCAGGTAAATTGTTGTATAGGATACGTTTTGATATACTATAATCTTACCCAATAAAATAAAATTATAGTGTTGACTCCTAAATTTAAGCATTTATCGGGTAAGCATTTAGGTAAACGACCCCTAAGATTAGAATAAAAAAGAACCACTGAAGGGTCGTTTATTAAATTCTTAGCGGTTAACTATTTACTACACATCATTTACCTTACCGGTAAGCATGACAATTGACAAAGACCAAGAATCTTACTCGATAAAAGGCTATAACAAATATCAATATTCTTACCCAATAAGTGAGAAATAAGACTCTTAGGAGCCGTTTAACAAACACTTATCTGGATATAAGTGCTTATCAAGTCACATTACCTTATAGAATGAATATATTTAATACCAAGATTCTTACGTGACATAATATTTTTTTATTAAAACTAGTGTTTGATATCGCGTGTTGTGCGATGATACAAATTAATGTAAAAACAATGTGACATTTGGTTGTAACGAATACTTTAAATAAATGGACAAAGTTAGGTAACTAAAATAACTTTATAATTCAAAAATTTTAACTACTCAAATCTTATTATACAACTCAAACCTCTACCATCTTTCTTTTTATTCATAAATATTCAATTAAATTTTATTTTTATATCGATTTTTTTTATTAACCTGGATATCCAACTCGCTATGAGAGCCGACTAATCCCAGGACGACCACCTGCTTTGCAGATAGCCCGGAGTCACCGCATTTGAACCTCCGTGACCACAAAGGGGATTTTTATTTCTCCTTGGATTTGAACTTGGAACCTCCTGGTACTTTTGATATTTGGAGCGAAACTCAAACCAATCAAGCACCACCATTGTATATTTTTTTTGCAAGATATGAATCGGATGTATATTTTAGTCGAGTAAGCATTTTAATTTTCAAATGCGTATCTTCTCCTTTCATATATTCGTAATCATTTTTCAATCTCTTATGTGATCCATAACGTGAGGTAATATAAACAATAACATAATTCAAATATTATAATATATTTCTTACATTTACTATTTTTCTTTTATATATATAATGACCTTCAATCTATCATTTTCCCCATCGATATGAATAACAAAAACAACACCACAACTAAATATTTTTAATGCTTAAATCCCATAATACTACGTCATGTCCTATTATCTTCATTTTATATGTATACATATATATAGATATAGATCTTTCGAAGAAATACATATTCTTTTAATATATGATATATATTGTTTATTCAACCATTTTCTCATAATTATAAGATAACAAAAATCATACCACGATTCAAAAAAAAATACTTAAAAATCATAATATCATTTCATATGTCAATTTAACATAAAGAAATTGTAAAAGGAGGTTGGCAAAAGATGATCAGAATCACACTGTACTTCAAGATTTTAAATTTTTTAAATCTAATAAAGTTTTTATTTTTATTTTGTATGGTTAACATTTTTTTGTTAAAAGAGGGTTAGTCAAAATGAGTCAATCCATAAGTTTGGAGAATCGGCTAAAATAAGCCAAAAACGTGAGTTTAGAGGATCGGTCAAGATGAGTCAACCCCATAAGTTGCCATAGACATCTCAACCTCCCTTCATATACATACCATTCATTGTAAATCTGTCATATCTCCATCAATGTGGGATACACATAACTCAATCACAATTCAATAATTGAAGAATATAAATATAAAGATAAGAATTACTAATTGGTTTTGTCATTTGGTTGACATTGATTTCAACCATCATTTTTACTATAAGTGGGTGTTTGGTTCATGAAATTTGGTGGAATTGGAATGTCTAAATCGTTGACCAATTCCAAATATCATGTTTGGTTCACAGAATAGATGTAAAGGAATCCTTCCAATTCCAACAAATTCCTTAAGTCACCGATTTCACAATTCCACCGCATATACCTCGGGTTTCAAATTTCAATCCGACAAATTCCTTAGCCCTCATCCATATTCATCGACGTTGTATCTCGATTTGCTCTGTTTTGCTATGCTCGATCTCGTTTAAAACTAGGAATGGCAACGGGCCAGGTTGGGGCCGGTTATTGGTATCCCCGTCCCCAAAACCGATAACTAAAACCGTCCCCGTGACCGTCTCGACCCCCGTCGGGGATCTTATCGGGGATCCCCATTGGGTCCCCGCAGTTTTCCCGATCCCCGTTAAGGTAAAAATCCTCATTTTCCCGTTCACCATTGGTTATAACCGAACCTGAAACCGAAAGCCGAAACATATCTAAATTTTTTACAAATATATTAATTTGCACAACTAAAAGTAAATTACAATTTTTTTTAAAGATGCAAGTTTAAATGTCTCAAACATAATCGAACAAATTACAAATAATGTATTAGATTGCAATATAAAACTAAACAAAACTTCAAATATCATACAACTAAAATCACGATTTCACAATTAGACAAATAAATTAAACTTTTTCGTAATATATATATTAATCATCAAAAGAAAGAGAATCAAAAGATAACCGGTTATAAGTAGTTTTTTTAGGTTAAAAAAATGTAAGAACCTAATATCTTAAAAATTCGATGCTTTAATTTATTGAAAAAAAAATAGAGATTATAGGATATCGACTAACCTTTTTCCTCTAATATTTTTTTTAAAACCTTCTTCAAAATAAATAAATTAAAAGACAAGGGGCGAGATTCTCCAAATTCGAAGAATTTTCAAAAAATGATGGATCAAGAGATTGGTTTTTCTATTAAATTAAAATACTTTAAGAGATAAATAATATTTTATCAGTTGTAATGAATTTAATACCGAATAATAAGATTAAGATAAAAATGAATTCCAAATTCTATCTCTTCTTCCAAACCAAATAAGCACCGGTAATAAGCACTTTTAAATGTTTGGATAAACAATTTATATCGGTGTCAAACCGGTAAGAATGAGTCTTTGAAAAAGTTAAAATATTCTAACTTATAATAAGTTGATAAATACTTTTATAAAAAAGTATAAGTTGTTTCAAATAAACACTCTCGAAGTCGATTGTGCAAGAGAATGACTTTTAAGAGTATCAAAAACGTTTCAAGTATATACATATGAACACTATAGTTGACAAAACGATCCATTGCCTTTTCCATGATGGCGTCACCATCATCTCCAAGGGATCTTTAGGGAGATTAATTTCGTTGCAAATGGTGCTAATTTTGTTGTATATTTTGATGTTTTTCCAAAGTTGGGCCCCACATTTTCTACATCCAACGGCCAATAAATTTTTGGCTCGTCAAAACAAATATGTTCAAACAAATCACTTCTTTTTTTGACATTTTACTTGGAGTAAACTACAAATTTGATCCCTATGATTTGTTAAAAATAACATTGTTCGCGTCAGCAGTTTCAAATTTATAAAATGACTACCGTGGTTTGTAAAAGTGTCGGTATGTAGTTATTATCTCTAACGGCCATTAGAAGATTCTGTTAAATGAAAGACTTTTTTATTCTTTTATCGATTCTTTTTGTATTTTATCTTATCAAAAACTATAGGGACCAAATTTGAACACTTTTACTAACTACGATGACTATTTTATAATTTTAAAATTACAGAGAAGAAAAATGTTACTTTTGACAACCCATGGAGACTTAGGGGCCGTTTACCAAACGCTTATGCAGGTAAGTGCTTACCAAGTCAAATTACCTCACCAGATGAATATGATACGAACCAAGAATCTTACCCGGTAAGAACGAGAGGGGGACCAAGATTTTTACCCGGTAAGTTAGAGCGACGACTCTTACCACGGTAAACGCTTACCGTATAAATTGTTACATACGATGTCGTTTTGGTGGACTAAAATCTTACCCGGTAAATAAATAGTAGTGTTAAATTTTACCGGTAATTACTTACCGGGTAACTATTTGATAAACGGCCCCTAAATGATTTGTTTGAACATATTTGTTTCGATGAGCCAAAAGTTTCTATGCTTTTAGATCAAGGGAAAAAAAAAACATCTATATTTGGTCATTTTCTCAAGTGATCGTTAAAATATACCGTTAAATGAGTGACTTTTTTGTTCTTTTATTGAATTTTTCGTCTTTTATTTCATCAAAAACAATATGAATCAAAATCATAAAATCGATTTTAAACGAGAAAGCAATAGCATGATGAAAAAACAGGGCTTTTAACGACTATTAAAGAGAGGGGTCAAATCGGATCATTTTTATGAATCATGGTGGTAATCTTCTAATTTTAAAACTACAAGGACTAAAAGTGTTATTTGGGACAAACCAAACGGCCCAAATTTGTAGTTTACTCTTTTATATATTCATTTTCCAAAAAATAATGAAAATTAATCAAATTCCATATTTCTTCTCCAACTAATTTTTTTTCTTCTTCTGGTTCTCGTTCTACGATCAAATGGAATTCTTCGAGAAATCTGTGGCGGTAAGGTTGAAAACTCACCTAGACCGGTACCTGGTGGCCGAAGACGACAAAGTCACCGTCCGGCAAAGCCATAGGGCGGCGGAAACACGTCGTGCACGGTGGATGATCGAGCATGTTGAATCAAACAGCCATGTGATCCGTCTCAAAAGCTGTTACGGCCGTTACTTAACGGCCACCAACACGCCGTTTCTACTCGGCATGACAGGGAAGAAAGTCCTTCAAACGTTGCCGGAAAACTCGAAGGATTTAGCGATCGAGTGGCAGCCGGTGAGGGACGGATTTCAGGTGATGCTTAAGGCTTCCGATGGGACGTATTTGAGAGCAAACGGAAGCATGCCGCCGTGGAGGAACACCGTGACGCACGACAGCAGTTCGACGACGTCGACGCATAATTGGATCTTATGGAATGTTGAGGCAGTGGAGATACCGGAGGATGAGGAGTTCAGTGACTATTTATCGTTGATTTCGAGTTTTTCGTCAGTTTCCGATGAACTTTCCGGCCTGGAGTTTGGCTCGCCGGCGTCGATTCACTCTTCGAGCTTCTCTCCACGGACACCTATGTTATCAATGACAATGAAGAAGGTACTTTTTTTTCTCTTGATTTTAAATATATATAAAATTATGCATCAAATATATTAGGCGTTTTTTAGCGGTTATTGAATGGTTTGGTGCAGAATAATTAGAAGGCTCTTATAATATAACATAAGCAGAAATATAATTCATAATTGTTTGATAATTATTCAGAATAAAATTAAGATGTTAAATGGTTAAGGGAGACCCAAAATGCAAAACTGTTTAGAGAATTTTAGAATCATTAAGAGACATACTTTTTTTGTCAAACAAGATTCACCTCTTAGCGATTCAGAAGTTTCCTCTTAATGAAACTATTAAGAAGTAAACAAACAATCCATAATATATACAAATTATCCAAAATTAATGAATTAAAAGCTATCATTTAATTTCACCTGTAAAAGATTGATTTTATACGACATTTAAAATATAAAATTTTATAAAAATATATTTTATAAGACTTAAGTTTATAAGAACAAACCAAATAGTGTTATATCTGAAAATTAAATAGGTTTATAAAATGATTTTATGCATTTTTATTTGACATTTTTAAAGTAAAGTGTCGTATTAACTATTTATACGACATTATTTGAATGAATGCCCTATAAATGATGGATTTATTGGACATTTCTAAAAAAATGTTCTATAAAATAATTGGTAGGACACCTTATTTTATAATCGTTCTAAAAACTTTTTAAAACTGTAAAAATATTTTATAAACCTATTATAACACTTTTAGATAAGACGATTTATAATTTGGTTTCATAAACATGAACATTAACCTGAACCATAATAATTATATAATAAATCATAACTTTAAAATGAATTCGACAATATAACATGTTCATACTATAAATAACTTCAGTACAACAATACATCTTGAATACACGATTTAAAATAGTCTAAAACAAACTAAAATACTTCATAATTAGTTAACATACATGTGAAAAGTTATCCTCAAAATAAAGTTTGTGTCATACATATATTTGTCTTTTTATCTTTGATAATATCTATATTATATTATAAAACATTTGATAAAAAAAAATTAAAAATTATTTTTATACATGAAGTATTCTTTATTGATGCATATTACTTAAAATTTAATATTACAAGTAAATTATGCATAAGTACAACTTATTAAGCTTCATATTGGAATTCATGTAACCAACTGTAAATAAATATAATCAAATACAAGATTAAATTCTCATTTAAAATATATTCAAAATATAATTAAAATAATTATTGAGTTCCAACAGAAAACTTAGTTATTATTTTTATAAAAATTATATTATTAAACCAAAAATAAATTACTTCGTCATTAAACCTAAATTAAATTATAATAAAAAATTTGAATTAAAAATTGAGAATTTTTAAATAGTTGATTTGATATTAACATTGATATATTTTTTTCAAAATTTTATGATATCTTCAAAATTTATATTTTATTAAAAAAACATTATTGTTTGCTTATAACCACATAAATTCGTATTATAACATTGACAAAGACCAAAAAAAATAAAATAAAACATTGAAATCGAGATATATCTCAGTGTATTATACGAATACCCTTTTAATACTGTTTAAAACATGTAAAAAAAACGAACCCACTAAAGTGTATTCGTATTATAATATTGACAGAGACAAAAAAAAATTGAAATTAAGATATATCTCAATGTATTGTACGAATACCTTTTAGTACTATTTAAAACATGAAAAGAAAACGAACCCACTAAAGTGTAAACTTGGGATAAATATTGGAAAAGTAATGAATAATCAATTATATATTAAATATTTTACAGCAAACTGTACTAAAAATCATAAACCTCACAATTTAATACAGCGTAGATGGTTTATACACTTTGGATGAATTAATGCCTCATCAGAAATGATATGTAGAAATTTAGATCGAATGAAAAACTAACGTAATTTAACTTGATTCATATTTTAGGTAACGTATTTTTAAAACTTCTATTTTGGTACATATAAAGTTTTAAGCATTTAAATACTCCGGTAACGGGTTGAAGCATTAGCCGGTTATCATGCTGATGTGACGAGTGATGTGGTATCTAACTCAGTATTATTTGCTGACGTGGTAAGCGACATGGATTTTTTTCTAATCGAAAATTAGTTTTCAACCGGTTACGCGGATACTTAAATGTTTAAAACTTTATATCTTAAGTACCAATATAAAAGTTTTTAAAATACGTTACTAAAAACAAAAATCAAATTAAAATACATTATTTTTTGGTACAATTTATCCTTAAAAGGAAGAAAACATAAATATAAAACTAATCGACTTAATTGTAGTGGTGGTACGTGGTGTTGGTTTCTTCCTCCTTTATGCACTTGCTTATTGGTGGCCACTAGGGTCTAAATTTCCATGCTAAAAATATATTATAATAAATACTAACATTTATTAAAATAATAGTGTGCAATTAATAAAAAAAAAGTATTAGTTAGGTATTTAAATTGTTTTTAACAAAAAAACAATTTTAAATCAATATTACAAAACAAAAATCTCCCTTATCACACGTCGACCTATTAAGTTATAAGCCTTGTCCGTACAACTTCTTAATTTATAAGTGTAAATAGAATTCTTTTACAGTATAATATATGTACCCGTTAAACTTTGAAAGGTGCTTTGAGATATTAGAAAATACAAGAAATATCAACCAAAAAACCGAAAAATCCATAAAATCAACCAAAAAACATTAAAATAAATCTTTCGAAATGATGGAGTTCGGCTAAAACACATCAAATGACTTTGCATGTATTTGATCCAGTTTAAAGATACACTCACTAGATTCGAGAAACATCGTGAGTTTATCACTAATTAGTGTATAAGTAACAAATAAATAAAATTAAATTTAAATTATTAAAAAATATTGATATTTATTTTGAAATAAGATAGTTTTTCAATTAAATTAATTTTTTAAGTTTAAGGTTTTTTATTCTTTTACATGTACTTCAATTATATGGATGATGGATATAAAGCCGAATTGACAATTGAAAATGCACATAATTTATTGTGACTGTACTACGAATGGGATAACTTAAAGGGCTATAATGAACAACCAGGTAAAAGAACAGGGGTCTATTATCAATAAATTGTAATCTTGAGTGGCTATATTTGAAGAAAAAATATCTAGAAGTCGATAATATGAAAAACAGTCATAGATAAGGGGGGGAATAGTAAATAAATAATTTCTACGAATGCGTACCGAAAGAAGCTAAACCGTTTGCTAACTTACGCACGCAACCGGCCCACCACCAGTCGGGTACGTGGATGCATATCCCTCGTAAATCAGATAAACGTAAAATATCCTTATTAATAAGATTTTATGTTTTTTTTTTTTTTTAAATTTTATTTAAGATATTTAATCAATATTCTAAATATTCAGTTAATTAATAAAAATATAACGTATTTTTATTTGATTTATTATTTTTTAGAAAGTAATTTGAAAACTTTTATTTTAGTTACATAGATGTAAGATCTTAAATATTTAGGAATCTGATCTATGGTGTAGGTTCAAACGAGAACATATTTATTTTATGAAAGCATGAAAACACTCTCATCATATATGATAATACACCTGGAGATACCTAGTGGTGTGTGAAAAATATGACCCATGACAAAGGTCGTTCACTTTTCTAATTTAATATCCCATGTGATTAATATTAGTTTCGCAATTAGTACATATTTATCATATGTGATAATAGACTTAAGATGACAACCTGGTGTGTAGGCGACTTGGTCCGCAACCTAGTCGCTGCAAAGGTTGTTTGCATCTCTCATTTAGAGTCACATATGTATCACATGTGATGGACTATAGTAAAACGGTGTTGTCGCATTTTTTATAAAATAAAGATGTTTTTGTTTGTACTATTCCTTCTATTTTATATATAAGAATGTATAAAAATCAACATAGTTTGGTCTAAATATGTTATAAAAAATTAAATCAAACTAAACTATGTTTTATTTTTTATACATTTTATTTTTATTGATTAAATATAAGTTCATAAAACCCCAAAATAGAAAAAAATAAGAAAATTGATCAAAATTACTAAATGACTTTATTCTATTAGTTTTTTTATCCGACATTTTTCTAATTATATTAAAATGACAAATGGTTATTTTATAACTTGTAAAATGTACTTTTTTAATTAAATATGATTTTAGTGAGGTGGCCTTATGCTGATCAGACCCCTGTTAAAGGGGAGAACTGGGAAATGGATCATAGGGCTATCCGAGTTCACTTTATAGTACGTTCCTATTAAGACCTGTCCTGCACAATGTACATCGAAATTTTGTGAAATAGGCATGTCAGCTTGGCTTTGGGAGAACGAAATGACCTACTAGCATCTCACTTTACTATAAAAAAGTATTTCACAAATTCTAAAATAAATATTTAGATGACGTTTGGTTTTAAGATGTGCTGAAGTTTGAAGTTTAATTTAACTTTTGATTTTTGAGAAATGGTGTTGAAATATGAAATCTGAATAAGTGGAGAAGCTTCTTAAAAGTTTCACGTCTTTTCTTTTTTGATAAAACAAGTAATAATACATAGAGATAAGATTAACCATGGGCTAATAAAGAAGCTTCTTCTTTCTTGAAATGTAACGTGGCTGTTGATCCATCCTGGCTGGCGCTGACTGTCATCCTCACGCGCCAGCGTCTATAGCCTGCCTATATAAATACGTTACACCCACCCACAATAATAATCTCTACACTTTTCTTCAACTCTGCAACTGGATCGTCGTCAATTTATCCTCCAATTCGACCCAAAATCGTCAAATTATCCAACAATACTTTCTGAATTTCGATTCTTATTGCCGGAAAATCTCTTAATTTTGATTAATTCCTGAAAACCCCCAAATCAGAGGCGTTCGTTTCAAGTAACAACATCGTCGGTGATGGATCTCTTTCACAACGCTAAGGCGGTCCGGCTAAAGAGCCACCACAACAAGTACCTCCATGCGGAGGAAGACGAAGAGTCGGTGTCTCAAGATCGCAACGGCGCCGCCAAGAACAACCGCTGGACCGTGGAGTTTGTTACAGATTCTCAGGATGATAGTATAACAATCATACGTCTTAAATCATGTTACAACAAGTACTTAACGGCTTCTAACCATCCGTTCTTGCTTGGAATGACTGGCCGGAAAGTTCTTCAGACGGTTCCTCGCCGACTAGATTCGTCGGTGGAGTGGGAGCCGATTAGGGAAGGGAATCAGGTGAAGTTGAGAACACGGTACGGACAGTACTTGCGGGCCAATGGTGGACTTCCGCCGTGGAGGAATTCTGTTACACATGATGTTCCTCATCGGACGACAACTCAGGAGTGGGTTCTGTGGGATGTTGACGTGGTGGACATCGTCGTGCAGTCGCCGGCGCCGAGACCACCGCCGGCGTTGATTCCGAATTCGGATTATTTTTCGTCGGAATCCAGCTCACCGACTGCCAATTGGTCAAAGTCCCCAACTTACTCACGTCAAGAGGTATGAATCCTTAGAATTTTCTTTTCTTTTTTTGCAAATTTTTATTTAAGTAAAAAGGATTTTAATTAAATCATTAAAAAAAAGATAAATTGCATAAAAACACTTATTTTAAACTTTTATTTTGCTATATAAGATATAAAGTTTTAAATATATAAATATTTGGATAACCGATTGAATCATTAACCGGTTATCATGCTGATATGATATCCAACTCAACATTATAGGCTGATTAAGTTAGCAACATGAAATAGAATTCAAATAAGATGGAGAAGGTTTATTTAGAATCAGAACGTTAAAACGTTACTAATTTATTTCTATTGTTTTGCAGTCGACTGATTCGTATCATAGCTCGCCTCCGAAGATGGAGGATGGAAGATCGATATACTACACCGTACTTTCAGACGATTTTGGGGAAATCGACGAGAATGCCCAAGGATTTTGCATTAATTTCAAGGGAAATGATGTTAATGAGTTAACTCGGAAGTTGGAGGAAGAAACGGGAATTAAGGGTATAACAGTGTGCACACGCTTTCCGTCAGACGGGAAACTTTACCCTCTTCGATTGCAACTTCCTCCAAATAACGTTACCATGAAGGTTGTCGTCGTTCAAAACTCGTCCGAAGATGCGACCGTCGATGTTTGAAGATTTAGAAGTCGAATTGTGAGTTTTTGTTATGGTATGTTTGAATGTTGTACATAAAGTTAAAAGAGAGATTTTTTGAATATTTATTGTTAGAACAATATTGTTATATGCGTAGAGTGACGATATATTGAAATTGTCGTTTTTTTTATGTATGACGTTTGGATGCTCGACAAAATATCTGTATTGTTCTAAAAATTCGTTTCAACAACCGTCATAGCACGTTATATCTTAAGATTTGTGTCTTATGTCATATTAAGTTTATTGTACGTCGAGGCCGAATATGTGGTTTTTATAATGGGATATTTGATTTTCTTTATGTAGCGTTTGTTTTTTTTAAAAGGTGTTGAAGTCTGAAGTCTGATTTCACTTTTGATTTATAAAAGGTGGACCTGAATTCTGAAATTTGGATCAGTAAGAATGTTTGCTTTTACGTTTGAAGTTTGGAATCTGAATCGGTCAAGCTAGTGTAAAAATATAAAAGATAAATAGTTTCTTACAAAAGTATAAAAGATAATTTTTTTTTTTTGCTAATAGATCTCTTCTAGCCCTCAAAATATGAAGCATGTGATAGAGGACGGATTATGATTAAGAGGTATTAAGTGATACAGTTAACACTTAAAATTTCATAGGACATTTACAGCTTTTGAACTCATATTTTAAAAATAAAATACACTCTTAACACATAAACATTCGAATGAATCAGACTCCAGATGTATTAAGAGGTAATTTTGAAAAAACAAACAAACTCTTAGAAAAATAAATTTTCTCTATCTCATAAGATGGTAGAATGAGGAAATATATCATTATTTTAGGACAAACTAAAATAAAATTATAGACATTTAGGGGCCGTTTACTAAACGATTACTTGGTAAGTGTTTACCGATTACCGGATGAACATGACAAAGGCCTAGAATCTTACCAGGTAAGAGCGATGAGAATGATAGAGAGTTTTATCCGGTAAGTGAGGGTGACGACTTTTACCCAGGTAAGCGCTTGCCAGGTAAAATGTTGCATAAAATATGTTTTGATGTACTACAATCTTAATAAAATAAGTTATAGTATTGACTTCTAAAGTTAAACACTTACCTAGTAAGCATTTAAGTAAACGACCCCTTATTTTGAGATGAATGTAGTAAAATAAAATTCAACCGATGATTTTATTTTACTGAATATTTTAATTTATTGAGTATTTATAGTATATTTCGAAAATATAGGATAACAAAACAACACGTCATCGGTGGCAATGTCAAATGAGTCAATTTAACATGAAATCTTTGCGTTTCAAGATTTCTATGATCATGCTACAAGAATAGATTGACCAATAGAATCTTCTCAAAAGCTGTAATTATGGAAATTAAGAAAATATTTATGTGCATCCTATAATGTATAAATTGATAAATTTTATAAAAAAAAGTAATATATTTTAACTTGATTTATATTTTGGGTAACTTATTTTTAAAACTTTCATTTTGGTACCACAGATATAAAGTTTTAAATATTTAAGTACCCGGATAACTGGTTACCATGCTGATGTGGCGAGTGATGAGATGAAATTAGATTGAATAACAAATAATACTGAGTTGGATACCACATCACTCGCCACATCATCATGGTAACCGGTTAACGGTTATCCGGGTACTTAAATGTTTAAAATTTTACATCTTATGTACCAAAATGAAAGTTTTAAAAGTACGTTACCCAAAATATAAATCAAGTTAAAGTATGTTATTTTTTTTCATGCAATTTACCTATATAAATTGAGATTTTATAAAATATATTTATAATTTCTTCAAAAAAGAAATATTTTAAATTATATCTATAAAAAAAAAAAAAAAACTAGATCATGTTCGACTACGATAAATTAGCTTATAAGTTGGCTTTAAAATTTGTTCAAAAATCTCATTGCAATTATATCATTTATTCTTTCGATTAATTTAAAGAAAATGGACCAAAATAATCAAATTCCCCAACCCAATTTATTTTTTATCAACTTTTTCATTTTATTCAGAGCTTATGCAAATGTCTTACGCATTTACATAAACTTGATTTTTGTGGGTTACAGATTTTTAAATATATATATTTTAAAATAAAAGTAGACAATTTACAGCAATATTAATGTGGGAATTACAATATTAAAAGCAGTCTTTGTGTTAGGTATATGATAATGACCCCAACTTTACTCCTAATGCCAACAATTAAGTTAACACGTTTACACCTTGTGGGATTCACTTGGACTTATTTATTAAATTCACTCTTATATATTTATTGATGAATATATATATATATATATATATATATATACACACACACACATGAAGGATGTTGTAGGAAAAATGAGTTAATATGAGAAGCGTAAAACTGAATTTCCACCATTGATCACTTTTAATCTCATATTCACTCATTTTAGGTTAAATTGGGGGGAATAAAAATTCATTTTCATTCTTATTCTCATGCCTAAACCAAACACCCCTAAGATAGCATACGGTTGTCAAACATGATCTTAATTTTGCAATAAATTTCCACTCTTTAGTACTTCCTCAAATTTGAACAAGTTAGAGTTCCCTATTTTGAATGAGTTGTTGAAGATGCTCCATAACCGAAAAATTAGATAAACTCAAACCAAGAGTGCGGTCTGCATAAATGTTGATTAAAAGTAATCATTCACCAGTTGTCTGCATAAACACTTATTTCAGTACGTTCTTAGAAAACAACCCCTCCCTTACTGAGTCAACATCTCAGCCAATATATTTGTGAGTCAGAGTAAGTTGGTAAACAACACGGTAATAGGCGGTTAGGAGGTAGTAAACAACCCCTAAGTCATTAACAATCGTGCATATATGGATTAAGGGCTTGTTTGGTTGGTTTTTCATTAAGTCCTGTGCAGCTAAATTATTTGTGTGGATTAACCTGTCTGTAAAAACCAGAAAAGTTTTTGTTTGGGAGAGTTTTTTCATAGATGAAATGAGCATGTTATTGGGGAATGGGGAGGGCAGGTTTAAAAAAAAACTTAGCTTTCTACATAAAGCTCCCCGTAGAAGATTACTGAATAAGTCACTTACTATATTATTAAATCACTACCAAACAGTCATCTATAGCTGACTAAATAAGCTGTGAATCTCATTAAACAGCTAACAAACACACACCAAGTGAATAAGTCAATAACTCACTCGGACCATTAAGCCGATTAACCGTAAAGAAACACCGCCTTTCCAACGGTGTTGCAAACTTCGATCTTTTATGCTTTATACGTAAACATACAGAAATCTCCATACCCTACTTTTGAGTGAGATAAACAGATACCATTTGAATTGATTTTTATGTAACAATAAAGAGAATATGCTTATAATTTTCCATGCAAAACATGTAAAAATGCCATTTAATTGTGTATACATGTACAGTCTAGCTATCAAGAGTTGTATATATATCAGCAATTTGAGAAAGAGAAGTGTCACCTGCAAAGAACTCATGAGCCACACCGTCGATTTCGATCGCGCTGCACCCCGGCTCCTTGGCTACGCCCTTAACAGTCATTAACCTTCTCAACGAACCAACCTCGTCCCATTTACGAGCCACGGCATAGGCTCTAGACAAAAGCATATAAACACCACTGAACTCACTTCCTTCTTTTGATTCCATAATCTTTTTAGCCATTTCTTCACTAACTTCTATTCCCACACTCCTCTTGGAGCAAGCATCAAGAATGCTCCTCCAGATAACCACATCGGGTTTAACCGGCATCGTGGACACAACATCTAGGGCCTCGGCAATTAGCCCGGCTCGAGCCAGGAGGTCAACCAGGCACCCATAGTGCTCCAAAACTGGTTCGATGCCGTATTTTGTTGTCATAATGGTGAAATACTTCTGACCCTCGTGAACCATGCCACGGTGCCTACAAGCACTCAAAACCCCGCTGAATGTAATCGAATTCGGTATTAATCCTCCTTCATCGACCATTTTTGTGAAATATTCTAAAGCTGGCTCGACCTGCCCGTTATTTGCGAATCCAAGAATCATTGTGTTCCATGAGGTCACGTCCCGTTTTACCATTCGTTCGAATACGGATTTAGCGGTTTCTAAAGACCCACATTTGCAATAGAGTTCTAGAAGACAATTATTGATCAAAACATCATTAGATACTTCTGGGCTGCATCTTCTTAAGACATATTTATGAGCCCACATGCCAAGTGATAATGCACCCAAGCTAGCACAAGCTCGTAAGATGCTTTGAATTGTGAAATTATCAGGTTCGAATCGTTCCTGCATCTCGCAAAAACAAGTTAATGCATCGTCGAACTCGTTTAATTGAACAAGGGTGTCTATCATCGCGTTCCATGAAACTACACTTCTTTCAGGCATTTCGTCGAACACTTCTCGTGCATCCTCCAAGCGCCCACACGACCCGTAAAAATGGATCAAACTGTTGTTGATATATACATCTGATGCAAACCCAAGTTTGAAAATATGGGAATGTAATTGTCTACCCTCGGAGATGGCGAACAAATACGCGCAAGCTTTGAGCACAAATGGGAATGTATGCTTATCGGGGATTACGTTGCCTTCAGATAACATCTTGAGGTAGAGCAAAATGGCTTCTTGCTTTCTGTTGCTGCTACGAGAACAAGCTCTGATGATGGTGTTCCAAGCGAAGGAATTTGCGTTGTCGATATGGGTCTGGAAGAACAGGAAAGCGTAGTGGAGGTCGTGGAGAGATGAAAAATGGAGGATTCGACTGTGGAGGAAGAGGGTGTGTGGATGAGTGGTGCAGGTGGTGCGGAGTGTGTGGGCGTGGATTTGTTTGAGGTGAGACATGGAGGTGCATTGGTTTAACAAGTGGAGGAGACGGCGGTGATGGTTGGTGGTTTGGACGGAATTATTGTAGTCGACGGCGGTGGCCACCGTCGGAAAAGATGCGGTTGCAAGAACCATGATTGTATTTGTTTTAAGAGTAGCATGTTTTCTATTTACTTATCAAAACATTTTGGCCTCTTGGTTGAATTTTTATAGGATTATGTATTAATAAATTGTATGTATCATTAATTTGTTTATAAAGATTTAGGGGTTGTTTGTTTACCACTTAATAGTTCTATTAAGAGGTAACATTTAAATTGTTAAGAGGTGAATCTTGTTTTGTCAAAAAAAAAAGTTTGCCTCTTAATGATTCTAAAACCCTCTGAATGATTTTGTATATTGGATCTCCCTTAACCATTAAGAGCCCTAATTTAATTGTACACAATTATCAAAAAATTACATTTCATTTTGCACTATATCATGAGAGTCTCTTAATCATTCTGCACCAAACCATTCAGCGATTGCCAAACAGCCCCTTAAAAATGTTTTTCTTATAACCGGAACGAATGTGCTTTTTAATTAGGAGGAATTTTTTTGAAAAAAATCGCTTTTTACATAAATCTTGTTGAACAAGCGACTTTCTATATCATTAAGTTATTATCAATCAGTCATCAATAGCTCGCCGAATAAGCTATTTTCATTAAATTTATTAAGATGTGAACAAACAAGCCCTTCTTATCAAAACATCTTTGTTACTTCTGACACATTTATTAAAATAGAAAAAAGTAAGGGCCGTTTACCTAATCACTTACCCGGTAAGCGTTTACCCGTGAAAATCAATACTATCGCTTACTTACCGGGTAAGATTTTAGTCCACGAAAACAACATTGTATATAACATTTTACCCGGTAAGCACTAACCGTGGTAAGAGTTGTCACACTCACTTACAGAGTAAGATTTTCGGTCATTGTTTCGTTCTTATCGGGTAAGATTCTTGGTCTTTACCATATTTATCCGGTAAGGTAACGTAAATTAGTAAGTACTTACGCGTTCGGTAAACGGCCCCTATAAATTTGTTCCATTTTATGCAACTTATCACATTTGTACAACCAATGCAACCCAATAAATTGAAATATTTATGGAAATGATGAGAGTTTATTTATTATGATTTAAATATTTATGAAAAATAAATAAAGTTCATTAATTATTATCCATACTTTATATTAGGAAACAACCAAAATTTCTATGAAATTACATATTCATCAAATTAAATGGACGGTTGAGATTGGGTTGTATTGGTTGTACAAATATAAAGAGTTGTATAATAATCCACCTCTCTCTCTATATATATATATATGTGTGTGTGTATATATATATATATATATATATATATATAATTCTTTAAATAGAGAAAAAAATGATTTTTATTTGGGAAAAATTAAAAAAACAAACTTTTCAATTTTAAATAATCAAGTCTGTTTGAATTTTTTTTTTTTAATAAATAAATCATTAAACTTTCTTATTTTGAATGATTAAGTTCGTAAACAAACCATCGAACTTCTAGAATTTAGTTAATTACATCATTCTAATCCAAAAAACTACCTATAACCGGCTAGAAATGTTTTAAAGTAGAAAAAAAAAACTTAAATCAGTTTTATGTTACTGGTGATGAGGGTTGAGGTGGAGAGTATGATGGTTGAGGTGGTTCCGGTCAAAAGGAAAAGTTAAGAACAGACATGACAACCTTAGATATTTCCGATGACATTCTTTTTAATAAGAGCTCTTAAAGAGGCAAGACTAAGATAGCATACTACGGAGTATAGACAAGGACTTACGGCTTGGACGGGAGAGACGTTTGGAGGTGATAGGTACCCGATTTTTATGTTATATAGAGAAATATGTTGGATCTGGCTTCCGTTTACATCTATAAAAAACATGTTCGATAGATTCTCTAAAGTTTCTCCAAAATGGAGCATGAAAACTCAAAATCTCCAACAGATTCTCTCTCTATTTTGGAAACTAAAACCTTAATTATATTAATAAAATAATTTATACACTGAGTCTCATTAAATCACCATCAAACAACCATATATACTTAACGCGAATCTCATTAAATTACTAACCAACAAGCCCTTAATATTATCTAATTGTTTGCATGTAGTCTCTCATGTAGCTTGTCCTCCACAAAAATAGTCTTTCTACCCTTAAAAATAAAATAAAAAATGTCCACATACATCATATGTTTCATATCTTTGTTGCTTTCAAATCCCATCTTTTTATCCACTTTAAATAGGGGTGTAAACTAGCCAAGCTCGAGCTCATTTATCTTGAACTCGAACTTAAAAATTCTCGACCTCAAGTTGATCTCGAACACAAAATAAGACTCATCTAACAATATGAGTCGAGCTTCATAACACCAATGTTCGATTCAGCTCGTTCAAAAACTCGATTAATTTTTTTCGAGCCAAATCGAGCCATTCAAGCATACACTTTTTTAGCCGAACATGATTATCTGTTCATAAATCATAAAAATATAAATATAAAAATTATCAACTTCGAACCAATAAATGAGTTACTCGATCGCGAGTCCAAGCCCATAAATGAACATCAAGCTCGAGCTCCATAACTCGAAAGATATTCGAGCTCGAGCCTAGTATCTTTTTTCGAGCCGAGCTCGAATAACCTACTACTTGACTCAGCTCGTTTACACCCCTAGGCTACCAATCTGAAGACCTATTGGTTAAAAAATTTGGTATACAAAAGCCATATTACCAGCCAAATCCAAAACCAAACTGTAAGAAACCCATAAAGAGGTCAAAATTTTTAGCAGATAACAATATAACCCCAACTAAGTTGCAGTTTTAATTAATTTAACCTCAAGAAAGTTAAAAAGGGGTCTTTGATTAGTAATGGAACCAAACCTTAATTAGATGCCAAAAGGGTCAGGTCAAGACTCTGCATCTTCAACACCAGAACCAGGGTGGTTGTAGGCATTTCCACCATTACCCCTGCCACCACCCCTTCCCTTCCCACCATAGTAGTTCCGCGGGTAATAATTTCCCGGCTGATCATAGTATTGATTACGTCCGTTCTGGTAGGGTCCACCTCTGCCGCCACTTCGAGCACCACGACCGTTTGGGTAACCTCTGCGACCACCTCCACCTCCACCACGGCCACCGCCTCTTTGGTTCTGATAGGGTCGTCGTGATGCTTGTTGTTCTTTGTATTCTTCATTTCCGCCATGTGCCTCAATTGGTTCCTTATGAACTGGGATTTCAACGCCATCTGCCTCATCCTGCTGAAGTGAACACTACCATTAAGCCGACATACGATAAATGGGTGACTAAACAGTTCAAAACTCGGAGATAAGAAACAAACGGTACCTTTGGAAAATCTTCAACAGGACCAGATTGGTCTTCGTAAGTTTCACTTCTTTGAAGATCTGTAACATCATCTTCCTGCTAAACAATTGAAAATAAAGAATCAAGCCATGTTCGACAACCATAAGCTCACTTTGACCAAACATGACTCGTATATCATTTAAGTCATTTTACGTTGTCATCTAGTTTTACCTAACATGACTAGTTTATGAGCCAACTTATCAGCCAATAGCTATTTTGCCAAACATGGCCTTAGTAAACGAACTACCATTAAGAGTTTGTTTTAAGCAGCGTCATAAGTTTAATAGGACTTGTAGCTTATTTGGTCAACCATACATGACAGTTTGGTAGTGGATTAATGGTATAGAAAGTGACTTATTCATTAAGCTTCTAGGGGGGAGCTTTATGCAGAAAGACAAGTTTCCAAACCTGCCCCTCCCAGTTACAAAACATGCTCCTCCCATCTACGAACAAATCCTCCCAAAAAACCTTCCCTATCCATATAGACAGATTAATCCATACAGAAATTAATGAAAAGCCAACCAACAATCCCTAGAGATCCCTGCCACAATGATTATTTATCCTTTTCTCTTGTTAAATGGTGATGATTAGTATATGGCATTAGTCAAATGCCATAATTCTCCTCCAACAGAAATGAAATAAAAGAATTCTTTTGGGCCAAAATGAGCAGAATAAATAAGCTGTAACAATAATAATGCACAAACAGGTACACAAGCTTCAGAAGTTGCCAAACAAAAAAAATGCATCACTTGATATCCCAAGTGGATAACGTTGCAATTTTCGCACAAGGAGCATCATCAACCCAGGTATCCCAAGTGGGCCTTTGTTGCTGTTGGACTTCAAGAGTATTTATATTAGGAAACATGGGACTGGAACGGGTCGGGGAACGGGTCTTGAGTCGGGGACCGAGGTTTAACCAGGGTTTGACTAGGTTTTGACTGGGGACGGGATGTTAATCCCCGTACCCACCGGGGACTGGGGCCGGGGGCTGTTACTAAAAACCGGGGCCGGGATTACAATACCCGCCCCATCTCCGCCCTGTCCATGTCCAAATTCCAACTTCAAAATTGATGTGATTTCTAGAATCATTCAGAACATGGTAATCAATTGAACTTTAAACAAGTCTCGGGAAGAAAATTGTGTTAAATTTGTAACAAACTCCACATTGATAATGAATTTGAAAAGTACTATGTTTGATCCAAAATGCAACAACACAACTCCTCTAAAACTTTTGTGGCAAAGACCTGGTACCATTAGAAAAAGAAAAACAAATAGTGATCTATATAATTAACTAGTTTGCTACAGGTACAAATTTCAGCAGTGCCTTTGCAATGAAAACTGCCTTCCGAGAAAACTAATGGGACATTGTTTTTTTCCACTAAAGCGTCACTAATGTTCAATAATTTCCTGGATAATGGAATGAGTCAAGATTAACCGAGGCTGCTCAAACAGGCATACGGCAACTAAACAGTATTACAGTAGCAATTGGAGCTATGGATTTTCAGTGCAAAAGATACGATCATGCTCACTGAACACCTCGTATTCACGACACCCTATATCAAAATCCATGCCTATAAGGCTATAACACCTCTTATTCACGACGTACTGTGTCAAGCAATACCTTTAATCATCATATAAAGAAACTGAACCAAAATAAACTGTGGTTAAAGATAAGTTTTAAATGTGTGACTGGAAATACAGAGGTAGTGGACAGTGGTCGCTCCTCTCTAGTCAAATCAAACTTTATACACAAAATCCTCTCTTGAGAGTCGCAAGAACTTGTTAATAGCATACTACACAGATAACACACCCACTAAAGAAATGAAATAATAGATCACAGAACAAACAAGCTTGAGCAATGAAGATGACTGAAGGGAGTAATATGTAAGAAACCTAAAAATAATCTATCTCGTATTCTCAGCTCTAAAAGAAAGTAAGGTTGCCAGCCTCTTCAGGAACAGACCCATAAACAAGAAGAATGAATTACGAACATGTGCTGTTACACTTGCACAGCAATTGCAATAATTAAGATGAACGTTCTATCAATTAATCACAAAAATTTCAGGTAGAAGAGCATTATGATTTGAATAAAGATTTTGACTTGTCAATGTCAACCAGGCTTTTTGTTTCTCATGATATGATGGTAGTGATTCATAGTTCACACCCACAGCCCACCTGTAGAGCCCAGTCTCTGAGGAGGTCAAGGGTTCAAACCTCACCAAAGATGGAAAATGTGTTGACTTTTGAGTCCATTTGGCGTTTATAGATACTTTTTAAACAGAACAATAAGGTTTTGGGGAGGCTTACAAATCAAGAACGTTGCAAAGTTCAGAACCTTGTATTGATGTACATTTGGTGTTTATAGATACTTTCAAAAAAATAAGGTTTTGAGGAGGCTTACAAATCAAGAACATCGCAAATTCCAGAACTTTGTATTGATGCACATTATCTACACCACATTACAAAGTTTTTAAGCAGTGCTGAAAATTAAGACACTTGTATGGCTCTAGCAACTCCATATTGCACACCCTTGACATTGTTTTTACAACCACACCATCTTCTGAGCATTTTGCTTCTCTATCAAATGTGATACGGCTGGTCAAACATTTGATGTCTACCCTTTCATCACTTGAACTACAATCACATTACAGTCAAAAGTCCTCACTTCAGACCAAGTTAAAATTTAAAAATGAACTCTATATTTTCCCTGTTAAACCTAATTTAAATTCAGCATCCCAAATCTATGCTCTATAGGTTCTGAAAAAAGCATAGAAACTTGTCCCATAATGTACAAGTATGCCAAATCCTAGACATAGAACCATTTACCATTTCCATTAAACATTTTATATTAGGAAGCATCCCCCCTCCCCACCATGAATAACACTGAGAATCTCCCATACAAAAGTTCATCTACATAGCATTAGGATTGCAATTCACCCCATCACTGTATTTTACAGAACAATAACATAAATCACAAGCACACATTTAATGTTCAAGCATGGTCCTCTTATTCAACTCCCATCTTCTCCAAATTTAAGATCATGCAAAATTTCTTGCGGAGTAAATTAAAATTGATCTATCTTTATGTAAAGATTAACCTACTGCGAACTACTGGTTTTGCAATTAATGTTGTTCAACAGTCAAACACCAAGAAATCTGTGGAAATATTGACCTCGAAATGACAGTTGGCTTTCCCAAAATTCCACTGGTTGCAACAGGGCATATCATTCTTCAACACATATATAAAGAAAAAGGAGTACTGAGAACATTTCTGAGAAAGATCAAATTTCAAAACAGAATTTTGCTTGATCTTTATAAACATTAAAGATGGCATGAGTGAGCCTCTTAACTAAACAAAGCATAGATCAGCTCAACTAGTCCCTAATCGATGTGAAAAAGATAAGCGCGTCTTTAGTGTAACTCAAAGATGGACCTAGAATTTTTTTCAAATGGTGGCACCATTTGACTATACGAAACAAATGTAGGGATATTTTTCATAAAATCATCATTTGTCTGTTGATTAATTCATTGCTTTTCATATGGAAGGTTATGTGTTCAATTCTTTTATTGCAATTTATCCACAAACATATGATGAATCTGAAATTAAAAGTTAAAAACTAAGAAAATGATACTAACAGGATTTGAACTCGATTACTCGGGTCAGGGGTGGAAGAAAAGTCTTGCAAACCAACTCTACCAATGGAAACTTGTGTCCTCATTGTAGTTTCAAAATATATACGGAGGCACACAACAAACTGATACAGTGGCACTTTTCAGGACCCTAAATTTTTATACACCATGACGAAGGAACGAAGCAGTGGCCCGTGCCACCACATGCACCACCTGGGTCTGTCCCTGTTGTAACTTCAAAGCCATTGAGAATTGAGGAACACAAAATGTAACGACTCGAGAGCAGGAATGAAAAAATGGAATAATCAGACAGGGAAGTTGATGAATTTATACCTTCATCTTTTGCAACAGAAACATAGAGACATTGCTAAAAGCTAACAGCATATGAAGACATATTTAAGTGATTACACACCCCCACAACATTCTAATTCTAGCCCACAAATATCTACAAAATCAGAAATCTAAGCATGCTTGCAACACAAATGATGATACCCCGATATGGAAATTAGTTCCAAATGAGGCATATCAGCAAGATAGGGGTTAGAACCATTGCAATTTACGTTTTGGGCAATACAAAAATACTAAATCATTAAATCAAGTTCTGATACATGTAATTCATTTTTCACTAAATGAAGACAAAATGTAGTGGTTCAATACCAAATCCCCGATGTGCATTAAGAAAAACAACAAAACAGGGGAGAAAGCAGCCACGTTTCTAAAGACACTCAAAATATATAAGAAACCATGATTATACCTTTTGTTCATATTGAGAGACCGAACCTTCCACCTGCACTGGCACTTGGAAAGAATAATTTCCAGCAGCTTCTGCCGCAACATCAGCAGTAGCTTTCATTTCTGGCGTTATCTTGAAGTAATCTGACCCCATAATCTTTGTCAACTTCTCCCTCAAAGCAGCATCTGTGAAACAAAAGCAGTTACTACAAAGAAGACCCATTTACATAAACATGAGGATAAGTTGAATTAAACTGTAAGGAATTGTACAGGTAACATTGCTATTTGAATCAATCTGCTGCTCAGACTTCGAAAGCCAAAGCTTTGCGTGCTCAATGCATCTCTGTAACGCATTCTGGTGCGAAAGGCTAGAATCCACGGGTCTCGAAATCAATAGAGAACCCATCATTGAGATCAAATCCAAATCCCTCTCACCCAACATGACAGCAGCATCATCATCAGTAACATAATCATACGTCAAGCAACAGTTCCTCTCGTGCGTCCTCGTCAGCATTATCGAATTGAAATCACTCTGCGATTTCACATCGAACATACTCGCGAAGTAAATCAAACTCAGCAGATCCTCCACACCTAGAACCGGCTGCTCCGTTTCCTGTTGCTCTTTATCTAGGGTTTGTGCTTTACTACTGTTATCAACATCATCATCATCATTGTTATGCGATGCGGCCACATTACGGCGTTGAAGGGCGAGATTAATTTCTTCATCGACGGCAACGGATAAGGACTGACGGAACTTCTCGAGCTCGTCGACGGCGGCGATGATGGTAGGCTTCGTTTTCAGAAGCTCTTCCTGTTCCTTGTTCTTGATAATGGATTTGCCTTGAGCGATGGAATCTTCGAGTTGTGCGACACGATTGAGCTTTTTCCTTAGGTTACGGATTCGCTTGTTGATAAGAGTGAGGACTGGTCCATCAGTGACGTCAGAAGTAGCCGTGACTGACGCCATTTTTTGAAATTCAAGGTTATTGAGTGAAGGAATCGGTTATCGGGAGGTGGAATCGAGTAATCGGAGCCGCCGTCAACGGCGGCGTTGAAAGATTTTGGTAGGGTTTGCAGGTAGGAAAGGAGAGAAGCGGCAAGTGGGGGTTGAAACACTTTAGCTTCTCATTATCCCGGGAGTTTTTATCACATTTCGAAAAAACTTATTTTGGTGTCAATATTTTATTAATAATAAAATATTATAACCTGAAAATGTAAATTAACAGTAACAAGAGATAACGCGAACCACTCATTTTATATATATTAGAAGCGTATTCGAGCAATGTAACGAGATACATCGTGATTTTAATATTTTATTTTATTTTTTATCTCAGTCGATGTTATAATATGGCTTTATGTGATTTTGAGAAAGCGATGATGTTT